ATTCTGGGGTAAAGACAGACACGTTATCCAGGCTTTGAATATCGCATTATATTGTGTTCTGGACAGGGAATCTGCAGCAGACCCCAGGAGAGCTAATGCACCACCTGCCCCCTGTTATCAGAGGAGTTTGGTTAGAGAACACATTGTGTCCATGTTAGCTGCAAATGTCCTTTGCTGTGTTCGCCCACAGAGCCACCCCAAGGCTCTTTGGGGGCGGCAGATTTGAATTTTGCCTCTTCAAGGATGAGTATCTGAAGCTGGGCCAGAGCTTTGTTTCCTGCTGGCGAGAGAAGAGGGATGGGGAAGAGGCGAAGGAGGGCTTGAGGGGTCAGGCATGCTTTTTCTGCTCGTCTGGGGGCAGCAGGAAGAGGCTGGTGGTGCATGGCTGCTGCCAGGAAAAGCTAACCTCTAGCTGGAGACCACAAACCCTTGGTGACAGTGGCCAGCCTGGTTTTCCAAGGCCACAGATAAAATAAGCAACAACCTAGGACAGCAGACAGTGGAGGAGACAGAGGGGCACAGTCCTGCTGCGTGCTCTCTGGTGTGTTGGACAGAAGGCTTTTTGTTCTGTGGTGGATATTGCACTCTAGCTCGCTTGCTTAAGAAAAAGATGACCAGTGCTTTAATTTACACCCTACCTGGGGATCAAATCTCCCAGCAAGACAGGAGAGTTTTTTTCTCCCTCTAAGCGAAACAAATTTCCATGACGGGATGAAATGCTAGGAATATTTTTCTTAGGTGGATCTTCCAACTTCTGGTTTGTAGCTACACTAATTTGTGGGTGAAGGAAATATTCTGATACTGAAAACTTGCCAAAATGCCGTTTAACAGAGAATTGCAGTTTAATTAGCACTTATGAGACATTAACAATAATTATATTCAATTTGACCACTCAGGATAAAGTGTGATTCAGGATTAGCTGGTTGGTGCTCTGGAAAAAAAAAAAAAAAAAAGAGGAAAGAAACCTTGCTGTGTGGTCTGCTGAATATGTGCCATAGGTAGAAACTATTGTGGCTGCTCATCTCTGTTTCCCACAAGGTGTTGTGCTGGACTGGGAAAAAGTGGAAGGAACTTATATTAACTGAAGGGAAATGGTTTGACTTCAAGTTCATGCCTTTGCAGTGAGCTGGATTACAGTTTATCCCTGCTATCTCTTTTGCTGTGATTTTTAGGAGAAGTGCCAAAAACTTTTAAAAATTTTTCCGTTTACTTATTTATGCTTTGCTTTGCCAAGGAATGAGAAAGCCTGCCACTTTTCGCAAGCGTGTGAACAAGAAAGGCAAGGGAACCCAGAGTGAAATTTGACGTGGAGACTTGTGTACGATGCAGGATAGCCATAAACATCCCTTGAATATTTCTTTTTTCTTTGCAGCAGAGTTCATTACGCTCTCTGAGTTTGTGGCTGTAGGTGAAAACAAAGACAGTGCCAAAAAATGATTGTAGTTTCAAAGGCTGGCTGAGAACAGAGAAAGCAAACCATATGCAATTTAAGTGCCTGTTTGTATGCAGGCTACCACACAAGCCTAATATATACACGAGTATGATGTAAGGCAGCGGAGATGACCTGATTAGCAAAGCCCTCGGAACGAGCTGAGGAGATCCCTGCTGCACCAGTGCTCCCCTCCTTGGAGACCTGTGACTAGTCCCAGCTGAAGGAAACCTTCCTACAGCAACAAGAGCTAGCGTGGGTTTCTGAAAATGGCAGCAACGGTGCTCCATGTGTGCCAAGGTGAGGGAATTAAGAAGAGTAAACAGCCTGCACAACTGCAGAATAGCTGGGATATCGTGAAAGATGCAACATGAATTACTTGGGCTTTGTGAGCTACATTAGTGGGAGTTTGGGAGCCCTGTGTGTTTTGGAAGGTTGCATTTCAGCAAACAGCTCTCTCTGTTTTGTGGTGCAGGTTATCCTGTTGGATGAAAGCCATCATTCAGCAGAAACGCACTCTAGGGCAAGATAGTGAGTAAGTGATCTTTCAGTTTGTAAGCTCTTGCATCCTTGCTTTCATACATGTTGAGCCGGCAGAGGTCCACAGACTTGAATGGGAACTCATGGTGCTCAGCACTTACTGCAGTCAAGTATTTATTATTCCATGTCAGAGAAATAGCCATGTCAGAAAAATAGCCACAAAAATTTATATATTTAAGAAGACACATAAGATACAAGGCTTTCTCACTGTTAGTACATATACACAACTGGTATAAAGTTTTTTGGTTATTTTGTGCATTACTGTGTGTGGAGAGTGTGCAGGCTTGTGGCAGCAACCCAGGTTTTTAGGTGAGGAGCGCAGGGCACTATTTCTGGCTCTACCCTAGCTACTTGTGGGGCCAAGTGTATTTAATCCTGCTCCTGAAGACAGCAAGCCATTTATTCAGGCTTTGTTCTCAGACTTGCTGAATACCCAAAAAGACAGCTATTATTAGGGGGAACTGCCATTCCTTACCTCTGAAAGTGGGCTGTCCAAAAATCACCGACTTGTGCTTTCCATGGGGAGGTGGGACTAGCACCTCAAATTTCTCCCTGCCAGCCCATGGAGCTGGCAGAGCTCCCACTCTTCTTCCCTTCTGCTCAGCCCTTCCACCAAAGGTGCATCCTCCTTGTCACGAGGCTGGCGATGGCTGTGCCACCCGCCATACCTTGGGCTCCGCACAAGTGTAGTATGGCTTCCCATTGGTTCTCTTGCTGCCTTGCTGGGGCAAGCCCCGTTGCACTGCCATGCAAACAGCCTTTCTTCCTCCCCTTGAGGTGGT